GAGGGAAGGCAGCTAGTCATCACCACCCACCGCCAACTCTTGGACTACTTTACCAACGAATAGTGGGATTGACCGTCACATTATAACGCACCCACGGCTGAAAGGGCGAGCATGTTTGGTGTGACGGGGATTCGAACCCGCGACCCTCAGTTTGCGAGTCGAGCGCCTTAATCACCTGGCCATGCCGGGCCAGAGAGCTAAAGTAACCTTTCTATTTGGCAGTGGAATTCGTGAATCGGTTGTGTTATATTTGCTTCTTGAATTACGATGGTAATAAAAGCAAAGATAGTAAACAAAAATTAACTTGTTCTGTTATCATTCCATGAATTTAGAGGCCTTTTTAGCAAAAAGGGCTACGAAGGTTCTGTTAAAAGTGGAAAGCAAGCATTATAGTTGGTAGATTAACATATGTTGATCCTCACTAAGTGGCCCCCAGTGGCACAGCCGTTTGTCTGCGGACTTACAACGCTAGAAGCCGGGTTTCGATACCAGTGGTGGACAGAGCACGGATAACCTATTGTGTAGCTTTGTGCCTAACTTGAAACAAACAAACAAAATCCTCACTAAGGCTAAGATAACTAACTAGCAGCCAGGTAAACTTCAAAATATCTGTCGAAAATGACGTTTTCTTGTGGGTTATTTCTTGCAATATTTCGCATGAAGTAAACGTGTGCTTGGTACAGGGGCGTTAACTTGGTGAGAGCAGAGGGCAATTGCTGTTTATTCTACAATGAACTAAAGAGGTTGAGTACATTATATTAAAATGATTATGGATGGTGCTACATTCCATGTCGCCTTGTCCGGTCAAGCTCTGTCTGACGGCAGTGCATTTTGGCAATAGTCAGTAGATTACATTGCTAAAGGCTCCGTCTTAAAGTTGTCATGCCCAAACCTTATCACTGCTCTCTGTGCGCGTTCCATAATTCATCTGGTGTACGAGAACGACACTTTCCCAGCTCTCGTTTCAATAGTCCAGTCGCAGAGATATCCACAGGTGCTATGCTTGGCGACGTGGCCGGTATGTTTTCGTATGGAATAGCATGAATAGCCATCTCATTCTGCATCTGTTTGAGGTATGCAACGATTAAACAGGTACATCTTGTATACGCGTGATAGTGGCACTCTTTATAGACGAGTACCTGCCTCATTATGTTGTGTACTTTTGTCTGGAACACGTGGACGACTTTTACTCTTACCATTTGTTGTGTTCCTTGATTATTGCTTATTACAAAACGCTGTACTTTGTTTACGATGGTTGGGATTTAACTTGTTAGTCCTGGTGCCCCACGTTGATCCATATTCTTGTGGGTTATTTCTTGCAACATATCTCGGGCAGTAAATATGTGACTGGTACAAGGGCGTCACTTTGGTGAGAGAAAAGGGCAATTGCTGTTTATTGTACAATGAAAAGTCTTACAATACTGTACTACAGAGGTTGAGTACGTTAAGTAGAATGGATATCCCATTTTGGAAATTCTAAATCCCTGATCTGAAAATATATTTATGATCTGAGTGTGTGAATATTTTGCGTCGGAAAGGGCTGCTACATTCCCATCTCAAAAGTGATCAGTTTTCAGTGACATCACGCTACCTACGAAACGCCAAGCAATTTCAAATTGTAGTTTTGATAGATTCCGTACCACTGCGACTTTATGTAGGCTATGTTTGGAACGTAACTTGGTGATTTGTGTATTCAAAATCCTTTTAATATAACGTACCCAACCCTCTGTATTGCTGTTTAAACTACGCCAGTGACGTGGTAGTTTTTTAAGCTGTAATGATTGTCAGACTACTACATGAGACATTCGTGAAAGGGAACCTTTCACGAAAAGAACATCTGAGACATTTGATGTAGATGAAACAAATTTGATATATTTCTTTGGTTTATACCTATATAGCATTAAGCAGAAACTGGAAGCAAGTTCATTTACTTTTTATCTCGTATACAGGAATAAATAAACCGGTACTCTTTTCTCTAAATCATTGTGACACGTAGAACAGCAATGAAAATGAACCAACATTTATTACCAGTAGGGTGTTATATATTGTTTAAATCATTGTCACATGTAGAACAGCAATGAAAATGAACCAACATTTATTACCATTAGAGTGTTATATATTGTTCTTTAAATCATTGTCACATGTAGAACAGCAATGAAAATGAACCAACATTTATTACCAGTAGGATGTTATATATTGTTCTTTAAATCATTGTCACATGTAGAATAGTAATGAAAATGAACCAACATTTATTACCAGTAGGATGTTATATACTGTTCTTTAAATCGTTGTCACATGTAGAACAGCAATGAAAATGAACCAACATTTATTACCAGTAAGATGTTATATATTGTTTAAATCATTGTCACATGTAGAACAGCAATGAAAATGAACCAACATTTATTACAAGTAGGATGTTATATATTGTTCTTTAAATCATTGTGACACGTAGAACAGCAATGAAAATGAACCAACATTTATTACCAGTAGGATGTTATATATTGTTTCTAAATCATTTTCATATGTAGAACAGTAATGAAAATGAACCAACATTTATTACCAGTAGGATGTTATATATTGTTCTTTAAATCATTGTCACATGTAGAACAGCAATGAAAATGAACCAACTTATTACCAGTAGGATGTTAGCTTTTGTATGAGGGTTGATAGTAGTGAAGGGCGGTTAATTCATTTGAGAAAAGATTGGTTTCTGTAAGCTGGGTTTTCGTCGCACTTTTTCCCCGTTTATTCTCGTAGCCAAAGACTACACGTAAATGTCTAATCAATAAACCAGAGATACAAGAGTTTGTTTTAGTATTCTTAATAATCTGACTTTCTACCCGCAATAGAATCAGAAAAAAGTACACATGGACACATCTTTTTAACGGTAATCCAACAACTTACTTAACAGCTGTCTGAGTGGGAGTTCAAACTCCTTGAAAGTTGACAGTTTTTTTTAACCTGTTTGTCTACTAATGCAAGACCTACAACGTAAGTTGTTGATATTATTAGAACACTTACAACGAGTAACAGTTTTTTGTTGTTGTTTTAATTAGTTTAGATAAGTCAGATAAACGAACTCGTGGTTATAGTGATCAAAGCACATACGTTGTTCACTGTTTCACGTATCTTGAAGGTAACTCGGAACACAAGTATGCAACTCCAAATGTAAACATTGTCAAAAAATATTACTTTTGTCTTATCACTGACGCTATACTAGTTATCTGTACGATCGTATAACAATAAATGAACATTACATGTCATGCCCTGATCTCAAGTTTTATGACGCCAAAGCTTGTATCTTTACGTCATTTAATAAAGGACGCTACATATTCAGCGTAACATAGCTGTGTCAGTCTGCGGATAGAAAGGTCCAAGGTTTGAGATGCGATGTCACTGAACTCGCTTCGCA